TGTGCCTATATGGATCAACTATATAGCCAGCCAGGCATTGATTCAAAGATAACATAGACTATTCAGTTACTAACAAAGAGCTAATGTTCAAAAACTAAATTCTCCACAATATGGTTTGATAGAAAATACGAGTATTATTCTTAAAAAATCTCTTTCGTTTAACATTTCTTTGCCCAACATTTAACATTCAACCCTTAATTCGTTTCAAAATCCCACTTTGTTCTATTTTCCTTTTCAGGTGGGGCACTCATATTCCAGGACGAAAAGGCTTCTGTTCTACACCGTGGAGGGGGGGGGGGTATAATCATTATTGTTTTCTTCTTGTTCATGTTTGGTTCAAATTCAATAAATTCCTCCAAAACTATGTACTTTACCACCGATTGGAGACATAGCAGTGTAGTCAATACTGAAGATAAGTCGCAGGAAAGGGGTGGTGAGGAAGAGGGGAGGATTCAGGGGTGTTGAAAGGAAAGATGAATGAGATAAGGCAAGCGACGCGACGATGCCGATCTCACATTGCCCTTCCGCGAAGACACTTCAACCGTGCATTCTTTGTTCACAACGCGACATTCGTGGTGAAGCGTTTCAATTTTTATGGCTAAAAACTTTCGTTGTGAGTTGTGCGGTTAGCAAGTACGTCTAAATTGCAAGAATGTCAGATTGGGTTTATCCTTTTTGTGCAGAGTAGGTCATGGTGTATATTTTCTTCTACGTACAGTATTACACCCTTATGTATTATAAGGGATGATAAGCAAAAGTTTGTACACATTGCAATGTGATTGCAATGTGGATAAGTATGTTTGGATGAGTTATTATTATTACAGTACTACTAAATGGTACTGTATATGTTACCTCGCTTCGTCAAGTGATGCTTTTTTGTAGTACAGTGTTATAGTTTCAGACTTCCGGAGTCCATCATCATCTGTAAAAAAACATGACTCCTCTTCCGGCGTCACCACACTTGTGATAACACTAGCCGGTTTTCATCGTTTATGGTATTTTTGTTGTGTGTTTCTGGTTTGTGTTTTCTTACTAAAACGGGGTTTACACTAGCATGTAGCGCTTGCGCAAGTTTTCCTTGCATCCTGCTTGCATAACAACTTGTAAATGTAAACACTATCATGCACGAAAGTTAAACTTGCAAGGCTAGCTTGCATGCATTTTTTACTTGCGCCGGTAATATTTGTTCTGACAAATATTACTTGCGCAAGTAACAACTTTCGCGTAAGTTCCACTTGCGTGTGTAAATACGTGACTTGCAGACCACTCCTACTTGTAAGCAAGTGAAGAGAGTAGTGTGCCTGTGCCGGTGTGTCTGTACATTTGAGTTTAAGGTTTATTTGTGTATTTGTCAAATTTGTAGTGGTTATTGAGTTGTCATGGCTGATACCCTTCTTGATACCCATTTTCATTCCCAACATGACCTTTGTTTTCTTCTCTTTATTTTAAAAAGTAATTCGTTTGCTTCTTCAAAAAGCTCATCACGTAACACACTTACTGCATCTCTCACTTCAGCCCAAACGTCCTCTATAAAATCCCACATTCCGCATCACATGTAGAACTCCACTGACTAGAATTGAGGCAATTCCACTTGCAAAGGTACGTGTAGTGTAAACCTTAACTTGCATTCAAGTACAGCTTGCATGACCATGCAAGTAAAACTTGCACAAGCGCTACATGCTAGTGAACGCTAGCTTCGCAAATCGGATAGTTGACCTGAATCTTTTGTCACACCTGATGATGGACTCTACAAGTCTGAAATTATAGTAGTGTACAAAGAATCACTTTACGATGCAAGGCATCGTAAGCCATTTAGCAATGTAGTGATATATATGCAACTAAACCCAAAACGTGATTTTATTACCGACTAAGACGGGGACTCAAATATTCATGTTTTAATTAAAACTAGTCGCCCCGTGGTCGAAAACTCGACCAAATATTTCTATTGTGCAAACTTCTCTATTTTCACCCCACGATGTAAATAAAACAAGTGATTGGAATTTCTTCTATTTGTTTGGCTTTCCTGTTTATATTTAGTTGTTATTTCGTCATCAGTGCATGGCAACCCATAAGACCCATGTATTTTTTTAAATTTTTAATTAAAATGTTGTTCTTATTTTTGAGCCTATTTTAATTTATAAAGGGACTCTGCACATCTACAGGCAAATATCTATACTTTATAACAGTATGATAGATTTTCCTACAACGCACACGAGCTGTGAAAAAAGGTTTTAAAGAAACATGTTTGCCTATTAATATAAAAAAAGTGAAGGATGGATTAATAATGGGGTGAGATGACTTCTAGCTTTGTTACTGACTAATATCAGCAGTTTCTATAGCTAAGACTATTTATTAAAAGCCCAATGGTCATGGACAGCTGGGTCATTTAGTATCAAACCGTAGAAAGCTAATGATTAATTATTGTATGATTAATGAAAATAGGCTGATTCAGACATCTAATGTTTTATATACACATACCATCATTCGTCCAGATTATCAATTGATAGCACAATAAGCATATGTATCTTTTTGTTTTCTGCTTGCAAATACATCCCTTTTGAAAAACGCACTCTGAATTTAACATAAATATTATACAGTAGAACCTTGATAACAAGACTCTCAAGGGGATTATCAAATAGGACATGTTATCAAGGTTGACTTCTTATCGAGGTTTGCAATAACATGTAATTAAAGGGTAAAATAAATTCTAGAGAGTTTGAAAATGACACTGGTTATCAAGGGTGACTTGTTATCGAGGGTCTTGTTATCAAGGTTCCACTTTGTTGTCAGTTATTCTCCTATTACAAAGATTTCATTTTCACCATTACTTCGAAAACAACTTTTTGAGTTCAGGGGGACCCAAAACGGACACATGCACCCAAAACTCGAAAATTTTGACGAAAAAATAATTTCTCCATATAAGTGGGAGTAAAAAAGGTCGTCAAAAAATTGAAACCAAAATTTTTTCTCGAACCCTTAGAACAAGAAATAGAGGTTTTCTCTGAAGAAATTGCCTGCAAGCGTTTTTGATACAGTCCACTCTTGGTAATTCAAACACTTGATAATTCAAAACTTTCGATAATTCAAAATGAAGGCTCAGTCCCTAGAGAATCTCTCAATATTTCAAATTTTTACCATGCATTTTGATACACTCGGTATTTCAAAGTCCAAATAGAGGGCAGGTCAATTTGTAACACGCAGTAATTCAAAGTTTCGTCGGAAAAACACTCTATAATTCGAAGTAACTCAGTAATTCGAAGTTCGTCGGTTGACACTCTATAATTCGAAGTCATGCTGTAATTCGAAGTTTCGTCGAAAAAACACTCTATAAATCAAAGTCACGCAGTAATTCGAAGTTTAGTTGGCAAAACACTCTATAATTCGAAGTGATCTCTTCCTGTTATAACAGGAAACTATACAGTACAGTACATCCAGTTCCCATGGTAGGCTAGTGTTGGACGTTTTGATGTTTGTTTAGTTAGAGCAGTAGTCTGAGTTAGTTCGCTGACTTGTTTTTCTAAGTTGGCAATCCGATCTCTAGATTGCGCGATATCTCCTTGAGCACAAACGTAGTTGTCGACAGCTGATAGTTCAGCTATTGGCGAAATATATAGCGCTAAATAATAGATTTATTTGCAACTATGTACATTAACTGAAAAGTAAGCCATTGATTGTTTAAAAGTGTACTAAAATACGGTATGATGTTTTATTGTAACGTGCTGTACCTTTGTATGTATTAAACAAACAAACTCTCTGTAATTCAAATGGTTTATTTTTCTCCCGATAAATCAAACTCTTGATAATTCAAAACTCTTGATAATTCAAATTTATATGCTTGGCCCACCAATTTCGAATTATCAAGAGTCTACTGTACATGGAAGAACAGATGAAATAAGTCATTTCTGCAGTGTCCATGTCGACACTGTAGCACAGAAGGTAAATTGCTGGCGGCTTCTGCCCACTCAACAAGGACATTTATTAATGCGCATATAATCAGGTTGACTGGGCAGTTGTCTCTCAATATTAAATGCTGGATTCTAAGGCGACTCTAAGTTCAGAAGTTTATTTACAATTCAACTCAAGACTAAAACATAAACATGACTGATATTGTTTACCTCCAACTAACATATGATACATTTAACATATGATAAAATGTGAATATAACATTATAACACATCTTTCCCCTTTAAAAACAGCAATCAAATTTGAAAGAATTAACTAAAAACAATAACCAATAATAACCAACCAAACTTCATTTTTAAAATTAGAAATTGGCGACAACTGGTCCATAAATAGAATTAATTTTTACTTCAAGATCCAAAAGTTAACGCCACAGTTAACCGTGGTATTAGAATGTCCTTGTACTTGTATCAAAAGTCATAGTTGAAAGACTATGTCAATAGTGCTTTATTTGCTAACTAATATGACTACAACTTGAGATATATTCTTCATTATCAAAACGTCAATGAGAATAAATATCTAAGGCAGTTATTTTTCACTTTGTTCAAACCACTATAATTTTACTTTTAGAACGAGTTGTATAAAGACCGCGGTAATTCGTGTGATTATAATTATTGATTACACTACGTATTAGCACTTCCAAGTGTTTAAAAACTGTTGACCAGTATTGTTAATCGAAATTAGTTAATGTTGAAGACTCGGACCACTAAAATTAATTGTATATTTAGAATATGTACAAGTGTGAGGTATGAGGTATGAATGTCCATTAGACTCAATTATTCAAAACACTCTGATTGGATTGTGTTCAAACTAATTTATTTTGGAGATTCCTGTTGCATGTTGAACATTGGCTACATGTTTTCATTGTAACTAGACACTTCAATTAAGTTTATCGCGAATGTATTATTAGGCATGCTACGGAATTTTAAATTATAATTAAAATAGTAGGCTTTCAGGACTGTATGTATTGGAACAAGGTGTTATTTATTGTGAAAATAAACTATTACAAAAGGTTACTGCGTATCTTCTATCTTCTTATAAGTAACCAGAACCCAAATTATAATCTACTCTAGAAAAATATAGATGAAATCAAATAACTCTTTTATTAAATTTGTGCTGAGCCCATTTCACACCATCACTAGGTAGTTCTGAAGTAACAAACGGAGAAATCCATGCTAAATACCATCTTTTACCCAACACTTGCTCTATATTTTTCTTCACAGAACCGGAATCATAAGCGTTAATATCACGAGCCCTCTCATACAGCACTTGTCCTCGAGTCATCGTGGTGAAATGGAAGAGGAAGAAAAACATAGAGACTCCAACACCGAAGAGGGTCACGCCGTAGAATAAGAGGTAGCAGTTTTGGATGGAGTAGCTCAAACCCAAAGCAAAAGCTAAAATCCTTGACCCTCGGAATTGTAAGCCTGTTTCGACGTACTCGGTGGCTGTCCGGTAAATGTAGCGGGTGTGCAAGTAAAGAGCGTAGATCGTACCGAGCGCCATGTAGAAGACGAAGAAAAAGAAATACCTATGGTTGTGATGTCCGATGCAGCATCCTGTGAACTGGCAATGGTGATCTCTCTTGAGAACACAACAGTTGCAGACATTGCAATGCCAAGATCTGGGAGGAATTCGAATGTCACATTTGCGACAAAAGTTCCAATGTTGCGATCCATGAGTCTGAGATTCCAAGTTCTTTTTCACGCTCGTGTCCGTTATCATGATAAAGACGAAGTTGCTCACAATGTTGACCAACACGAACGATCCTGAGAAAGCGTGGAGGATGAACCAGAAGGATGTTGCTGAGTAGAAGGTCGGTAGCACTAAAAGTATTTCGAAACAGTAGCCGAAAGGCACGATTAACGATATGAACACAAATGAGACAATATCGAGGCATGTTATCGGGAAAAATTTGTTTCTTAGTTTCATATTTGTGGTTTAGTAACAGCTATGGTTATGTTTATTATTTAAGAAATAATTAAAAACATGTGTTTTATAGACATTCTTTTGGGAAATAAAACCCAGACTTACAATATACAGGTACAATCCATGGTGGAAGGAAAAACCATCACCCAAATTGCAAACAAAAAAATCACCTGATTGTATCGCCATATAAACATATATATTTGTTTTGAATTGATTGTTATTGTTTTTTTAAAAAATTTTTTCTAACTGGTGAAATGGTGTTTGCAATCTGGGTGACGTCAGTATATGGCGGGAATAGCACACCCATGTTTTTCCTTCCACCATGGGTACAATCTATAACACAAGAGTTTTGTATCATTTACTGAGTCCAGAGAAACGGGAGACTTTTTCGAAAAGTTTTGATTTTGTAACCAGTTACCCATAGTTTTCGTATATTATTCATAATCTTAACAATCATTTAGCCCGCGTTTATGACTCGCTCTTGTTCATTTAAATGTACATACTTTTATTTATTTAACTATTTAAGCTATGGGAACGGGGTTTTATGGGGTAAAAATTGGGGTTTCACGTCTTTTATCTTTAAAACATAAACGTTTACAATTTCTTTCCAAACCATTAATTTGTAGAGCTAGAAACCTATTTGGTATAGCCTACAGAAGCGTTATTATGGCTCTAATGGTTACGGAAAAAATTCCAAAAAACTGTGAATTAAAAATCCCCATGTTATTTTTATAGAGAATAAGTAAACCGTTATAGTTAGCTTGTTTATGATCATATTTTCATCAAATTTTGAAAATACATTTATCTAAAAGTACACTTAACTATATATTACAGTTTTGCAAAAAAAGTTTAACCCTCCCTTTTGCAGCAAACCTTAGTACTAGTTAAAATAATAGTACAGTATTTTAATAGGGAATAAATGTAAGATTTTAAAGAGATATTTTAGTGTAAATTCAATCAGGCGGATGGAAATTCACTTAGTCAACATGTTTGCTGTGGCGAGGGCATTTGAAACTGTAATAGTTAATCTTAAGCTTACTAAAAGTTGCCCGTTCAGTTTGGCTTTATCAGCACACTTGTGTTTAGTTCTAACACGTTAATTTTTATTCTTACACTGGATACAGATAAACAGTTAAGACGGAATTTTTGTACTTGTATAAATTATGACAGCTACTAAGCATTCTAATTCTCCATTCTGAACAAATGTAAAACAACACGCAAAAAATCTTAGGCAACCTACAAACACCAGTGTAAGGAATTGTATACATGCGGGAAATTTAATTGCGAACGCTGTCAAGGATATATTTCCAATTATTTATTTTTTGCCCTTTAATCCAGCGGTGAAATGGTGTCGCCCTTCCAATACTCTTGAGACTTGGGTTTCAATATTGCTGTTATTTCTCAGATTCAATCTCGGACATGGCCTTGTTTCGTTGCAGATTCAATCTTAGAGAAAAAAATACTTCGGAAGTGGCCATACAAATCTCACACATGTTTTTAAATTAATTAGTCCTATAATTACTTTACCAAAACATCAACGACGAATTGTAGGTGTGAAGGAATGATGAGTGTTGCATTTTCTATCCATATATCTGTTATACTTAATACAATAAAGGGTTGTCTCTGTTACGTTCCTTTTCACCCATCCTACTAAGTAGATTTTTTTTATTGATATGTCATTTTGTAAACTTATAATCTAGTGGAGGTGTCTAAAAGGAAAACTTCATTTCGGGCTTCGCACCCACCTGGAGTTTAATTTATTTATAAAGTTAGCTTTTGAAGATCCACTGATGAGTACAATCTTTCTTGGAAACAGTTTTTAATTTGATTTGTAACAGCTGATCCTTCACTTGAATGTTAAACCAGGTTGTAAATAAAACACAAACAGCTAAAGTTTAATCACTAGGGCCTACAGTGACTCTTTTTGCCCGTGTGGTGAACTATATTTTTCGTCATATTGCATCATTAACAAACAAAGCTAGAAAACGAAATAATTTGCATAGTATGTGAATATAACATCTCAAAACGACTTCCAGCTTGTTTTCAATTCTGCTAATGCAAATAAGCAGCTGTTTAGTAAGTGATTCAATCATTTAGTTCATTATGATTGTATTACAGCATATTATACCATTGATATGTCGAGCAATTATTGACAACAATAGGCTAAAACCTTACCTAATAAATCAATCGATAAAAATTTTGATCGATACGATTGCCACAATCGAAATTTACAACTGATTTTACTCCCTAGAGACTAAAAATGCTACTTTAGACCTGCAACGCATGCATTAAAAACTGCTGTTTCTGCTGCAGTATGACGAAATAGTATATTACGTTACTAGTCCTGAAAATAAGTGTTTACCGGACGAGTGTGGTCGTTCCTGTGCGAGACGAAGTCGAGAACGGGATTACCATACGAGTCCCGTACACACATTTTGGACCAGTTACGTACGATAGTTTACGCCATACTACTAGATCTGTACAGATCCTTATATATTACCACTAAAAACAAAGGACTAAAATCACCTCTAAGAGAGGTTATGTTTTTGTTTATAACCACTCATTGCCACCCAAATACAATCAGTATAATCAGCTGATTGGTGTCCGGTAAAACTCATTACAGTACAGTAGTACGCAATCGGAACCCCATTTGTTAAGCCGGCGGCAAACAGCTGTTTTCTGGACTAAATCCTTGCGTGAGAAGTTCGTCAAAATAGTGCAGTGTGGCGTAAATAAATTTTTCCTTTATTGCTAATTAAAACCTGAGGTAGGAAATCACTCTTTAATGTGCCTTTGGATAAATAATCAACTAATTTGATTTATTGCGCATTAGTAGTTTTATTCACCTAAATACTGTATTAAACAAACTGTACCAAATAATTTATTGTAATCTTAACGCTGAAACTAATCTTATTAATCAAACACTATCATAACTAACTAAATAGGACTCTCTTGTCCACTCATTACCACATTACTTCTCAATTATTTACAGACTAAGAGATTAAAAACTGATCAGAATTTTATCTACTCAAGTTCTTCGCTTGGTCAAACTTTAGGTTACCATTTTAGAACTCAATCGTTTAGGTCACTCAACGGGCAGTAGGATTTCAACAGTTTAATTACTTAGTTTTGTAGCCGCAAGATATTTAAGCAAACCACCAGTGCGTGAATTTAATTAAACGTGTTTGCGTATAATCCCTACCTTCTCCCATTTAAACTATTACTTCAAACCAAATTAATTGTACTTTGTAAAACACAAAAACATAGAACTATGAGACCTAGAGCTTATTTATTTTTTGTGTTGAGAGCTGTCATAAATTTGATAACGAAGTGTGCGTAATTGAGAGAACACGAGCTTAAAATAACACATCAATGATAGATTGTGTATTCAATAAATGATTGCTCAATTAATCATAATACATTAAATTACATTAAATAAGCTCTTCTAGGGATAGGAAAATGTAACTATTATTTAATGTCTATTAAAACTGTTTGGTGTTGACATAAAGCTCCTTGACAACAAGTATCTCTTAATCCCGTGAAAGAGCACTTCCCTTGAATTTGCATTTACTTTAATTCTCAGTTTATTTAATTTGAATTCAGATTAAATCAAACCCTCTGTGAAAGCCAATCTCCTAAATGAAAAATTAACATTCAGTTAAGAGTGGCATCACCCTGGTCACGTGTACTGAAGGTTATTTAAAAATTGACAGCCATGACAAAAAAACAAAAGTGATCGAATGTAAAGTTCCAGTTACATAAACGTCTAACATTTCTTGAATAACTTTTCGAAAATTCGTCGCTTCAAAGTCGAATTTGCGGGATTACAGTAGTTTCCTTTTTTAAAGCCCTTTAAGATGTAGTGGTTCTTGATAGGGGTTGCCGTTTTAAAGTTTAAGGTACCCCTAGAAACTCCTATTTGATGGTGGGAGAGTGAATTTCAAAATACCGCCAAATGGTACCCTAGTAACGTGCATTGAAGCTAGCTTAACTATTTGCAGGCATTCAAAAATTAACCTTGTGGGGGAGTATTATAGGATACCGGGTATAAATTTAAATTATTTAATACTAAAATATTAAATTAAGTTGATTGAAATTCTTTATTGTTAAAAAATTCCAAGATACCAACTTTTCCCTTTTCCTACTAATACGGTTTGAGTCTAGTTCGAACAATGTTTACTATGTTAACAATGTAGGCTAGACATAGGAGTAGGCTAGTTTGACCCCCCCTCAAAATAGGCACGTTACACAATGTTGGTTATAACACACAAGTGACCTGATAATAATTCTGTCATGAAGGATGATAAAGGATGTGTAAATGGTTCCACGAAGGACCTCTGCACAGGATGTGATAAGTGACATGTTCTGATGTGGCTTATCCCTACTTTCATGTGGCCGTCGAGGCATATCACTTGTCACATCCACACCTTGTAATAATAGCGTGGTTTAACATAGGCCAGTACTTGTAAAATATTTGTTATAACGTTAACCATAATTCCAGAAGTAATAAAGTGTGATTCAATAACTTGAATTTCGTTTCAACATCACTATGCATCATACATATGCACATGTTACTTAAAAAAAGAAAAAAACTATTACCTAAAAATCAAAGATATATATTTTTAGCGAACTTTCCTATATGGAAGTCGCTATTACCGTAGGTGGCACGGTAAGACCTACGCCCGGGACCGATTAACTTTTTAATTTTTAATTTTAGTTGCCCATGTTATTTTTATGGAGAATATTGGAAAATGTTTTAGTTTACTTGTTTATGAATATATTTTGAACAAACTTGGCATATTTATTTATATTATACTAATCTATTAATATTGTACTAAAACCACACTTAATTAGTTTCCTTGTAGCAGCAAACCTATTTACTCGTTAAATCCAATGTTATTTATATAGATTTAATTGAAAATCAATTACAAAATTACAGTTTTATCCGTACATTGCGTGCCATTTTCCTGTGGCAGAAGCATTTAAAAGTAATTAGTAAGGGAGTATCCAAGAAATTG